ACGGAAAATTAACTAACGACCAGAGACGTAACAATATGTATACATATTGCCGTCACCTTCAAATGGTCTTAAAGTACTGTCTCGTCCTTGAACAGAAAGCTCTTTGTCATCCTGTCATTCATATGACGATCTACCCTCGCCAGTAATACGCAATATCTACATACATCGCTCGTAAGTCATGATTTTGCAACATATGAACTATATAACAAATATATGTACGGTTATTTTCGCTGTACTGACGTGCTAATTCCTAAAAAGATCAGGTTTAAATTTTTATTTTATGTTAAGAGGTGGCATTAACCATAAAAGTTTTTTGGTTCAGAGATTATGGTAAAAGATCACATTTTTGTCTGTCACCAAATGTATTGTGTCGTAACATAAAGTAACTGTTTAGTTCCTGATCATGAATGCACTCGAGGAGAAGGAAAGCGTTAGCCGGTCTCCATTGGATAGACAGGCCTAACTGTAGGGAATGGAGAGGTAACTGATGGAGTGGGAGTCTGATACATGTACACCCTCTAATGGCATGATGAATTAAACTGAAAAAAAACAACTAAATACTAGGTAGCCATTTGTTTATAATCATATGTTTTTTATTTATATGAAAACTACATTTTGGAGCAGTGATGTCCACCGTTGGATTAGTTTAACAAAATGAAATACAGAATCTAAAACGTGTGGTTATTGATGAACGGATAATTTTGTTGTAGGTTTTTTCCATTTCATCATTTTCTACTCGAGCTTGTGTTAGGTGCCTGTTGTTGTAATTATATAAAAATATAACTGACAAATGTAATACCAGGTAAGCTATAAATGTTTCATTGCCATACATTTCCTTTGAGTTTGTTTTGATAACTTCCCATAACGAAGTGTAAATCGCAGTTAAGTATAAAATACTGTTACGTCTGTGTTCGTTTGTTAATTTTCCGTAGAAATTCTTTCCGAGAAACTTCTGCGATACAAGTCCTTTCTTAAGTAGAACTAGTTTATTCTTTCTCAATTCAACTTTGCAATACACTTAATTTCCACAGTTACTTTAACTTGAACACACGCTATAATTCACAACGACTCACGCACTTTACTTACAGTCACTATCGCTCACTTCACTCGATTAACTATATCTATATCTTCAATCTCTCTATCTGCTACTCCAGTTCCGATTAAATCCCCTCTCGCTTTGATTGTCGGGCTTATATATTAGAATACAGCAAGTCTGGCAAACACTCGAGCCGTCACGAACCTTTTATATACTCATTACGTGTTACCGCTGTCGTAACAATACTTTCAGTACAAGGTTACTTTGTGACGGTAAATGCCAAAGTATTAATGCTCCTCTATTCAAGTTATTCTTCGTAATTGATCAAAGTACGTGGATTGTTAATATTTCCTCAATGAATAAATCGTAATAAGGGTTTTTAGATTAGCACCACAAAATATATCAACTTTCATACATTTTCATACAGTTTTAAAACTGTAGAAAACTCATTCGGTAGTGTAGGAAGTAATAAGTTTGTCAAGTATCGCGTACGCTTCTTTATGATATCACAAGTATTTCACCACGACCTTTAAACTCATGAAGACTTTATTTTCTGAAAGACACGAGTGTAAACTGAAACATATCAACTCTCACTCGATAACAAAACCCATACTATGGTCAGTTAAATACTGCAGGTTTGAAGAACATGGGCTCTTCTTTACTTGGTCTATAATAAAGAATGTCTCTCAACGGAACATCACACGACTTTGATTGGGGAATTCTGTCGAATGAAACTTACTAGTGCACCATATTTGTATTACTTCACTGTGAGAAATAATTTGAGACTCTTTCCATTTTGAAATAGCAATCGTGTTTTGTTTTGTTTTTCATTTTGTTTACTGAAAAATGAAATATATAACAGATCGCAATAAAAGTGATATTTAGTAGGGCTAAGAATTTCGCATCTGTGCATTGACACCAAAATTAAAAACTAATGATACACATCAGACCCTTAACAACAGACGTGTAAAAGTTTGAGAAGAAAGATTGTCGTGTTCTTCGTAAACATACAGATTTAATGAGCTGTTAGTTACCTTTATTACCCAATAAATATAAATTCAATATGTATTTGTTTAATAACGTTGATAATAAAGTATATGACGAGTTTTTATAATACACGGGAGTAGTAAAATATTGACGCATTTCTTTGTTTAAATACAAAATAAGCAACTAATCTTTTGGCAGCGCCATATATTAATGTGCCAAATGTGTTGGGTAGTTAAGGCTCCAACAATACCCATCCTTAAATAAAGCACTGAAAAATGAAGGAGTCAGTGATGTTAACAAAAACATAATGGGGTTATAGAAAGTGAATCATAGAGGGCACTGCGTGGTAATTACCGTAGTGTTCTCACTGGTTGCACCAGACTGAGCAACCATAAACTGCCGTAAAAATAAAGCACGAAACTTGAGCTGGTAAATAAATAATTTGGTTATTAATAAACCTAAATTACAATGTGTTACTGATCTCTGGTCATCATTTTATTACTGAAAAATTAGTATCTTGTAATTAAAAAATACTGTATAACTTATAATGGATATTTGACACAGTTAAATATAATGTTCAGGACAAGTACAGGTACATCACCGATTTTCCAGCACCTTTGGTTCCAGAACCTTGCCGGATTATCCGTTTTGCTGGACCAACAATACACTTCTACCCCACGAATTATACCCCTCCCATGTCTCTAAAGCACCATGACTGCTAGAAACT